GGCCCAGAAATTCTACCCTACTAAGCCAAAATTCACATTTTTTGAATTTGGCATAGAGCTTTTCTTTCTTCGGTATTTCGAGAATAATCCTTAAGTGTTCCGTATGTTCCAGCTCACTCTTTGAATAGATTAGTATATCGTTAATAAAGACAATAACAAGCTGATCCAGATAGTTGTGAAAAACTTGATTCATGAGATTTATGAAGACCGTTGCACATTTGTCAAGCCAAAGGGCATTACCAAGAACTTATAGTACCCATATCGAGTTCTAAATGAAGTCTTAGGAACATCAGTTGCTTTAATTTTCAACTAATGATACCCTGATCTTAAATCAGTTTTCTAGAAGACCTTGGCACCTTGTAGCTGGTCAAATAAATCTTCAATTTTAGGGAAGGGATATTTATTTTTAATTGTAATATGGTTTCTTCTTTACGAACAATATTGGAGCTCCCCATGGTGACACATTGGGTCTAATAAAATCCTTGTCTAGCAGCTCCTGCAATTGTACTTTCAATTCTTAAAGTTCTACCGATGACATACAATAAGTGGCCTTTAAAATTGGTGTGGCGCCCAGTATGAGGTCAATAGTAAACTCGTTCTCTCGATTTGGAGGCATTCTTGGTAAATCTCTAAGACATACATCTGAAAAATCCCGAACCACTCGAACTTCGTCGATAGTTAACTCCTTCTGATCAATGCGGGTCAAAGACACTAAGATCCTTGAACATGCTTCTTTTTAACAAGCATTTAGCCTACACTGTTTATATAAGTTAGCGTAGAAGTTTTACCCTGGCTTGCCACATCTATAACATACACATTTTCTTGCCAAGCATTCTCCCTTATAAGATTTTTTACATTTAGGATTGAGTGGTCGTTGATTCTTATCATTGATGTTGGCCTCTGTTTATGTCCTTCCCTTTTTGTTGGGGCATTTTCCATTCCTCCTAATATTGTCATACCATTTATGCTTGTCTAAAGAGCCAATTTGCTATCTACTACCTTCACCAATTTGGTCATCATCAAAGGCCTGTACTTGAGCTTTCTCTAGAACTCACTGATAAGTACCTAATTGGAATATTGCTACAACTTCCTTATGCTAGTTCTCAGTTCATGCTCAAAAAATGCCGAGCCCATCTCTTATCTGTGTCTACCAAATGTGGGGCAAATTTGGATAACTCCTTAAACTTTCACTCATAATTGGCGAGAGTCATGTTTTCGTGCTTTAGCTCAAGGAATTCCTCTTTCTTCTTGTCTCTTAAAGTAGTTGAAAAGTACTTCTAAAGCACTATCTCTTAGAACTGTGCCCATGTAAGGTTACGTTGTTGCTCCTCGATGTAGAATCTAGTAGTTATCTACTACCGATGACTTGCTCCATATTCCATCATGAATATCTCACAAAGGATTTTTTCTGCGTCAGTACATTCCATGACCCTGAAGATACGCTCAAGATGGCAAAGCCATTCTTCAACAGCCAGTGGATTAGAGCCACCTTCAAACACGGGTGGGTGTATCTTGCAAAATTGTTCTATAATTGAAGATAATCCAAGCCTGCCTTATGGTTGTTGTGATTGCTGCGGCAACATCTCTAGCATGGTAGCTAGTAATTCCAGCGCTAAAATTAGTCGTCATCTAAACTTAAATATGGAGATCATATATTAGAAGCCATTCAAGTCAATTCAACTATCCCGATATAGCTAACGACGTTAGAATACTTGATTATAAATAATGTTGTTTCTGTTCAACAATTTCTTATTGTTTCCAATAATATTTGACTAAATGAGCTTTACATTTTTTTTTTTAAGTGGGTTTGTAATATTGTTTTTCATCTTGTTGATTTGAATAACACGCAACTGAAAAAGATTTTAAGGAAGGAAATCATAAGTAGAACGCGTAAATCCCAAGCTCGCCTTAGATAGTTTAGATTTTTTAGATAAAGGTCTTCAATCTTGTGACTACGCAAATCAAGAAAACTCAAACAATAAATTTCTCGAATTATTTTTTATTTTTTTATCCTTTTCTTTACATAATCACTACTTCACTCTATTACTTTTCTAATTCTCAACGTGGCTCCATGGAAATAAATATCACGTTGAATTTTCTGTAAAATATAACAATTAACTTTTCACGAAGAGGATATACCAAGTTCAAACAATCACTTGTTAACTTTTATACTAAAGTAATTTCATACCTTAAATCATTGGTTAGAAGTTGATAATGCGACAGTGCTAGTCTCGATGTCGCCTTGATCAAAATTTATATAAAATTTTAACATATAAAGAAATCTAAAATTTTCAAAGTCTATGGAAAAGAATGACTAGGCTTTGATATAATGCTGTAATGCCCCGAAACCTTTATCCATAACAAAAGTGAATTTGCTCATATTGAAACACAAAAAATTTGAAGAACTTTGTAGAATAAAATAAATTATTTTATTGTCACATAAAAATGTTAATTAACTTAACCCACTAATGTAATATAATTTCAGTTCTTATTTTTTTTAAAATTCAACATCTATTTTGAACATATAATTTCTAATTTAAAAAAAAATTGGATTTCTAACTAAATACTAAATGCTAAATGAAAATAAAATTCTTGAGCTAGCTGCACATACTCTATCAATAGTCTCAACCTCTAACTTCAATCCATCAAGCATCTGTAGAAATAATTTTAGAATATAGAGTGAGTATATGATTATACTCAATATAAATTTTATGCTAATATTTTCACAATTTGATAGAAAAAGCAAATTAAGTACATAGATAACATAATTTTCAAGTGGATAGAAAACTGGCCATCTCATTCTCACTTAGGTCATACTCATTTTCAATCTCCACTTAAGGTAATTTAGCCTTGTGAATGGCTTCTATATAAATCTACGTAATAATATCCTATGGTACACCTACAAGATCATTCTTTAATTTGGATCACATAATAGCACATAAAATATTTAACTTAAAACATTAAAAAGTAAAAACACGAAATAACAAGGCATTTAGACAAATCCATACCTACTTCGTTAAATTCTTTTTGTACTTGAGCTATTTAGAATCAAAATTCTTGCAAACGGATCTCAAACGTGCCATAAAGTTTTTCTTTTCCTTTCCTCACCTTTCCTTTCTTTCTTTTCTTTTCCTCACCTTTCCTTTCTTTTCTTTTTATTTTTCCTCCTCTCTTCCCCTTTTTTCCTCTTTCTCACGGTTTTTTTTTCTCCCTCTCCCCCCCCCCCCCCCCCCCCCCCCGGGACCTTCTTTTCTTTATTTCTTTATTATTTACGAATTTGTGAAATTGAAGTGCGCAACAAGAGGGTATTTGTAGGTGTGATTTGATAAAAATAGTTACCTAATTAGAATTATAATAGGACTCTTAATTCAAATTTAGATTGGTGTTTCAACAAACAAACTTATCATGAAATTTGAATTTAACAAATTATAACTACATGAATCATGATATAATATTTCAGTACGGACATATGTAAATTTCAAGTTTATCTAAATACTTTTATATAAGATAATTTAATAATAATTTAGGGTGTGTTTGACAGTCATTTTTATGTAAAAATGCATTTTATAATAGTAACTTGATGGGAAGTGTGGTTCAAAAATAAGGATTTTTTTTATTTACGTGTAATATTATTTTAATAAAAAATATGTGATTGAAAAGAAAAGAGAGAAAAATGCATTTTGAAAAAAATTGGTATCAAACGGGGGCTTAATAAATATCCAAAATAATATTAAAATTTAATTTCGTGTAAACTCATTTATATCCAATTATTACGATTATTAACACAAGATCCCTAAAAAATGATAAAGTTACTAGATTACCCTAAAATCCCAAAACTTGCATTTATACCTCATAATATATTGTACGTATTTTTTTGGGGTATTACAGTTGGTATATTTTAAATTTTTTTATATCTCATTTGTTACTTTTTGAAAATCTTGAAACTCTAGCTGCAGTTATTTCTTTTTTGTTGATATTCTTTCACTCCTTTCTATTTGTTTATTTAAAGATGAGAGCAAATTAGTCATATTACAATGTTTTAACGATGAAAATACGTTTCCTCCTCCCATCTAAGTTGATTATACGAGTCACCGGTTTGAGGTTTAGCATGTGCAAATTGAATATTGAATAATGTTATTTATCATCATGATGACGAAACATCGGTAATGCGACAATTCATTATCCCTCTCTCTCTCTCTCTCTTGTGAGACAATGTCTCCTCCCCCTCTCACATAAAAATTGAAGTGTCCTTCTATCATCATAATGATAAATAGCCGAATTCTTGAATATTTGATGAATGAAAGAAGAAAATCAGTAAATAACTCAATAAACAACATGAAACATTTTTGCACTCTTAAGTATAGAAGGCATGGGAACTCAGGGGTGAGTAGTATAATGATGAACAACTCAACATTAAAATTTTGACATCACAGATTGGATTAAAATCTGAAAAACAAATAAAAAGAGGGGTGTCTTGCTGTAAAACTTACCGGAAAGGTCCAAATGCCCAAGCTTCTTTTAACTTTTTATTCTGAAGCAGGAATATAATGGATTGATCCATTCAGGTCTTTGAAACAAACGACAAAAGAAACAATTTAAACCAATATTTAGTTACAACATCCATGAAAAACTTGATGTCGATGTCTCGTACAGAAAAATGTACGGCAAACTCAGCAAACCTGTACTGCTGGTGTAAAATTGATTTGAAAATAAACCACAACTTATAAAAGACAGTTGAACCTAGCTATATACTGTCCAATTTCATAAAACGCTGCGACTATCCCTTAAATCGTGTATGCCAATACTCTTTTCAAAAAAGGATGAGAGTCGGTTTTAAATTTCTATCCACTGTTTATTTCATCTACATTAGTTCTAGTAGTTGTCTTGACTTAAATTCGATTCATCTCCGATTTCCCCTTCTTCACTTTCAGGGTGAGCAGGAGAGAACACTGCAATCTAAGCAGAAGCTATGGTTAAAATTTTAGCAGAATAGCACAGTGTAGACTACAAACATAGAATTTAAGTGTCATATAATTGTTTCGCTCAATCTCAAAAAATAATGTTCTGGCACAGAATGATGGTTTGACATTAGCAATCCCTACTTTCTGATAATGAAATCATGAAAGATGCCCTACAAAACTAGAAAAAACGCACTATTCCATCACAGCAACTCCTCCAGCAGCTTTGATTTTTTCAATGATACTATTTGCCTCATCCTTTGTGAGTTGTTGCTTAAGTATCACTGGCACTTTCTCGACCAACTCTTTGGCCTCCTTCAGTCCCAGATCTGTAAATGCACGAACCTCTTTGATCACCTTGATTTTTGCAGCAGCTTCAAATTTCTCCAACTTGACATCGAAAGTTGTTTTCTCTGCCTTTTTATCCTCGGCCTTTGAAGATCCAGCGCCTGCCCCAACTTGGCTACCTATGTCCATGCCTTCTACTGAAATGGGCTGCAGCTTGAGAAGCATTACTCTGTCTCTAAGGGCAGGACCAATTTGACTACGCTCTTCGGGTGTAAGGGATGCAATTTGTTCTGCAAGCTGAATAATCTTTTCAGATGGTGGAGGTCTTGGTCCATATGGATCATAGAAAGGAGGGTACTTGTATTTCTTGGGCTTGGCATTGGGATCCCTAGGAACAAAATCTGGTTGAAATGAACGATATTGCAAAGGCCTTGTTATTCTACGAAGATTATGATGGGAACTGATCAATCTGCAAAGCATAGCCGGTTTCATGGTTCTGAAGATCAATAAACAAGGTATCAAGATACAATGATGGATCAAGGGCAGTGCTGTGTTATAATTATGGCGTTCAGGGCCATTGATAGCCTCTAGGTCCTCACGGAGGAGGGGGGGGGGGGGGGGGGGGGGACCTCCTCCTAAAGCTCAATAATGACGTGTATATTAGGCCTGGCCTTCATTCTGCTTATGATTGTTTATTTCAGAAGTAGCAACAAAGAAAATAATGACAAAAATACTTGATGGTAAATTAAAAGATTCTAAATTTACAAAAGTAAAATATCAATAAACTACGTTCACAGGGCAAACATAACCACTCTTTGAAAATTTGACACAGTTTGTAAAATGATCAAGGCATTTAGGAAGAACAGACAATCACCAACAACTGCATACTAAAATTTTATTTTCGTTCTTTTAATATTGTTCCAGAAACTATATAAGATCATAATCCATCTGAATTAGCAAAATCCTTATAAATCCTATATATTAATTTTTAAATTCTATTCTTCAAAAAACTAAACAAGTTAACAACATGCCACGATAAATGTTCACAAATAAATCGGCATAAAATGAAAAGCATCTGGGTTAAAGATGTATCATTCAATTCATTTACAAACTCTGTAATTCATCCACCCGTCCTAAGTAATAAAAAAACCAATTTCATTCTATATATTGAAATGGAACACTGGATTCAACATATAAAACCACAATTCCCAATTTCCAACACTTGATTTGTCATTTTCCTTTCTTGAATAACCACCAAATTTAAGAAGCCAATAGCAAAAATAGAATCCGAGCTCATTAAGTACCTGTTTATGGCGGAACAAAGGCCTCCGAGGCTCAGGCGAAGAAGACCGAGAGAGCACGGAGAGAATGGGCTGGGAACTGTCTAGGTTTTGAATCGTAGGTTCTGGCTAATACTTTTAGGGCTGGTTTGGTTATCCTTAAAATTTATAAACATTACTTGTAATTAATCTTAGGACATAACTTATAATTGTTTATAAGATGTGGATTCTTCAAAATGTCTATTGTTTGGTGCTTTAAAAAACGCAAAGCATGCATGGAGCAAAGTTTTAAACTAGAGTTTTCTTACTTGTACCCGAGTTTGACACTTCGGATTATCTGATGTGAGTGAAGGGTCGGGCTCCACACATTTATTGGCGTGAGGCCCCCGACCTCCATGTTAGTAGCATGTAATCCTGAGTGTCAAAATCCGAGTACATGTAGCAAAACTCTTCAAACTATACAAAGTTCAATAATTCTATTTGCACATAAAAGGTGTACCGAATTATTTACCATTTTACCCACACTCACGTGCATGCGGGATTCACATGAATAAAAAATATTTAAAAATATTGTTCCCACCCCTTATTGTAAGTAATCGGTAAAGGATTAGATAAAAAAATCGATACATATAGTATAGTCCATACAAGTTTAAGTTAGTCTAAGCAAAGTCTAGACATAAATTTTTTTTTAACATTATTTTAAAGTTTTAATTATTTTAAAATCATTTAATAAATAAATTATATATACCAAATATCTAAGCATATTAATATTATCTCTATTTAATAATTCTTACAATTAATCATTTATACAATTTTTAAGTTTTCAAAATTCAAAAATTCGAATATTTCTCATTGTTTCAACTTTCAACGGACAATTCATAATCAATAGATTCATATGAATTTCATATATACTTTCAAAATTTCTAATAAAATAATAAGTCTCAAATTTATAATTGCATAATGTCGATACAACCGTAACTTAAATTTTATCTAACTCTTTATCGGTTAGAATAATATTATTTACAGTCGTTCACTATTGTAATCACCTTATGTGGTATGTATCAAATCACTAACCGTCATATGTATATTACGTATAGCGACTACGGCAATAAATGATTGCAAATAACATTATTCTATTGACTAACGTCATTTTTTTCTTTGTATAAATTAAGTCATTTAAAAAATTTGAAACTAATGTAAATTCAAAGGCCTTTTAAAAAAATTAGAAAAATTAATAAACTAAAGTCTAATAAAAGACTTTTAAAGAGGGAAAATATGTAAAGCGCACCTGGTTAGTACTTAATCCGTTGAACATCTACTGCGTAGATATTGTTAAAATCAAGTCAAGATTTTTTTATACAAATGTATGAAGAAAAGATTTTTTTAAGTATTTCTCCCGCCTCACGAAGATAAGTTTAAAACAATGAATCTCCACTCCAAACTCGCAATATACACTCAGTACATCAACATAATTCACTTAAGATTACAGAAAGAATGAAGAACAATTTGAGAGAAAACACGAGACGAAATTCCTAAATGGCACCTACACACAAATCTATGTGTAAAAATAGCCAAAGAGACCATTTATATGGCCTAGAAAAATCACAAATTCAACGTCAATAAACACGTCATGTGTAAGACCATATTGCGCCAAAACATAAGCCCAAAAACACATTTGCAGAAAAGCGAGAAAGATGCCTTTATTAAACTAAGTCAATCGATCAGCAGTCTACCCAAATTAGTGAAGCACAATCAACATTTCAACAAAAGAGATTCAATCCTGGAGGGTAATTAGCACAAAACGTCCTTACATTTCAAGATTTTTGTGGAAAACGTCTCTATCTTTCATTTTTGACAATTTCACCCTCACCTTTGCCTTTTATTACGCAAAACGTCTTTCCATCCACCTTCCGTTAAAATGTACCGTTAAATCAAAGAAAATGGGATTTTTATAATCAAAAGGCAGGGTTAAGATCGTCCAAACAGATTTCTCTTCGTTGGCATCACTCTCATCCCTTGATTACACATCAATGGGTTTGGTTATTGTTGTCCAAAAAGCAATTTTTGATTATGTGGTCTTCTCTTTTCTTCACAGTGAGTTTGGTTATTGATGTTAATTGTTAAGTACTGGTTTTGATATATTTGGTTGTTAATGTTAGTTGTTGAGTATTGATTTTGCTGGGTTTGGTAATTGAACTCAGTTGTTGATTACTGATTTTGCTGTGTTCGAAATGGGTCTTAGGGAAATTCCATTGCAGGACATATAAGCAGGGTTGTATCTGGCTCAAAATATGTAGGGACGGTTTTCACAATTTTTGACAAAGGTAGGGATATTTTGCACAAATACAATGAAAAGATAGGGGTGTTTGCGCTAAAACAGTATAAAGGTAGGGATGTTTTGGACAAAGACAATATAAAAATAGAAATTGTTACCGCAAGTTCAACTTCACATTAAATTGGGAAGAAGGCTCGTTTATCTTCCTCATCTTCTCCATTTCTATGTATTGTCCATTCACATAATCACATTTTAATTGGTCGTCTCACTTTACCCTTTATTTACACCTTTCGTAAGTACAAAATGGGGATGAACATTTCAATTTTATCGACCACATATTCATTCTTTTCATATACGTTGCCAAAAAAATTTTAACAATCAAGCATTGCAGTAGTCGTGATGAAGTTCAACCATAAATATAATCCTTTCTATCATTTCTTTCTTATGTATTGAATGAAATATTTCTTTACAAATTATTTTATTTATTTTCATATTACTTTTTAGTTACGCATAACATTTGAAGAAGGCGGCAATGAAGTCTCAATGAAGAACAAATGTGTTTGGACTATCTTACCCTTGCCTTTTGAAAATAAAAAACTCATTTTCTTTGATTTAACGGTGCATTTTAACGGGGAATGGATGTATGGACGTTTTGCGCAATAAAAGGCAAAAGTCGGGGTGAAATTGCCAAAAAATGAAATGTAGTGATGTTTTCCACAAAAATCTTAAAAGGTAGGGATATTTTGTGCCAATTACCCATCCTTGATCATAAAGATCTATTCTTAGTCGCCTTCTGATTATATAAATGCCCCCAGTCTCAATCGATTATATAAATTGCTGCCAAAATCAACAACATCTGGTTCGTCTATCTATTTTTTTCATTATCGATAGATTGCTGTCAAATGTCTTCAAGTGGAATTATGGCAGCCATTTTTTGTACATGCAGCAGATCTGTTATTGCAGAACGATCCTCTCATTATAAGTATTACTTGGAAAAAATCCACGATTTTCGGAATTCCCAGATCCATCTTTCAGTTAGGTAATTGCTTAAAAAGTCAAAAGTTGGAGGATTTTTATCGCAAATAATAAAAGATAGTTATTGTATAGAAGACTTTTAATTAAAGTCGAGAGCGAAATCCTTGTAGAATTTGGTCTCCAATTTCCTATCGATTTTGGAGTCATACACATAAAGGAATCCTTGTTGAGTTAAACGAGTCTTGTTTGAACTTAAATTAAAATTTTCAACTTGGTTATTAATCCTATAAATAGTGGATATATTTCATTATTTTGGGTGTGACCAGGGAGTTGATTTGAGAGAAAAATATTGTGAGCCTAGCATTTTGAGACTTTTCATACTTTGGATAAAAAAGTAGGTGTGGTAAAACTTGAGTTTATTTTTTCTTTGAAATAGTTGGGAATTGAGTCGGTGAGTGAAATTCTATATGATTGTAACAATTTTTCATATAGTGAAAAGTTTTGACAGTTTTTTCAATTTGTGCGTTATATTTTTTATTTTTCTTGTTTGTTAATATTCTTCTGAATAACAAAAGATCTTACGGGAAAATAAAAATAAAAGAAATTGACGTAAAATTCCCAACACTTTCATCTAAACCAATTCTAATACACAATAATAGTTTAAACAAATGTGAAAATTTTGGTCTCATGAAAAGAAATTTGATCATATTTTATTTGAAAAACAAAAAAAAATAAAATCCAAACTGCACATTTACAGTACCCAACTTGGAACTTAACTTATGCCAAGTCAAATTATATATGTTTACTTTTTCCAACCGCGTGATCAACTATCAAACTGTCGTGAACTTCAATGACTAATTTGAAATTTTACTCAAGCTTTAGTTCTGATGGACGGTGAAATTAACTCGAACTTCATTTCAATTTTCCTAGTATTTTCGAATTTAAAGTTTACAATTTTATTACAAGTTTGTTCTGTTTGAATTCTAAATGCACATAAATTACATATTGAGCTAAAGGCTAGAATTTCAAGTCTCTGTAATTCTGTTTCTTGTAATGTGTAAACGAACCTTGAATTAAAAGCACAATTGTCGTTGGTAAAACCATGAGACATCTAAGAAAGAAATATCAATACAGTCAGCGCTTAGTTTCTTGGCCTCGGAATGGTTTGTCCATTTCCACATTTGTCTCACGAAACTTGCATAGTTGAAAGGATACTACTCTTATAATTGAAATAAGTAACATTATTCATTTTTAAGATTAGCCAAACTAGTTCATAATCAACTGACAATTTTATTCAAACTTAAGTTCACAATTCATGCCTGCAGACTCAAAAGATTCAAACATCTATACAACAAAACAGAGGATGCTGACATTCAACAACTAATTAAGCTCACAGAAAACTTTTCAGAGTTCATTTGAGAAATGCCTGCTTATAAGAAGAAATAGTCTATGGAAGCTTTTCAAGAGACCGGGGTTTCGTTTGTGGGGACGATAGTGGCAATATACCAGCAAACCATGTTTGGTAAGGTAGATTAGACAGTATTATAAAAGAAAAAAGAGTTTAAATAGACAACTATTTGCGTCCATATACCAAACATACCTTAAGCATCCCCAGTCACAACTTATTTGTGGACTTTGTGAGAGAATACAGATGCCAGTGCTACCATTCTCTTGCTTATGTCACCATCACAAAGACAGCTAACTATGAAGAAAAAAATTCCTCGGTCCCCATCACAAACAATAGAAAAACTTCTTAGGAAAAAGCAAGAATAAAAGACTTTAAACGAGTTAGAAAGAGATGCTCTCAACCTAGTGAGAGAAACACTCACTTGGTCACCCTAGAGATTTTTAGAGATTCTTACTGCTTGATTCAAATTTTGCCTCTCCTTTGTAAGATTTTGAACTAAATCGGATGTTTTTTATGAGTTCTTGATCAGCCATTGTGGTTTTTTAAGATTCATGTTCAAAAATTCATGTTTCTATTCAATCTCTTGGTAGATTGAAACCGGCCAGCAGTTATAGCTTTGTTCTTGAAGATTCAAGTTTTCTTCAAGCTCTTTTTTACCTGTTTATCACTGTATTCAGGCATTATTACATACATCCTATACTGAATTTCAAAGTTCTTTGCAAGAGTTAAAGATTCATCTGCTTAGTTCTTCAGTTCTAGCCTTCTCGATGAGAGTTTCTCTACATTTTGGCAGCATATTTGGTTTTCGTCCAGTGGTTCTTGCTTGTTCTTCAAGTTCACCCTGCTCGATCCAAGCTGCAAATGGGTAAAAAGAAGCACGAGGGTTTGAAGGTCCATCTTCCTTCCAAAACATAGGTGAAGTTCAACCATGTGATATCAATATGTCTACAGATATTGTCCCTGATGCGAAAACCTCGAAGGGTGCTGCTCATGTACAAGGTACTGAATTTGAAGCTTCCTCCCCACATTATGCTGCTCAACTTTCTGCAAAGGCTTTTCGGGAGGAATTTCATTTTGAAAACACAAAATCACGAAGTGTGTCTCAAACTATCGGTGAAGAAGACACAGACTAAGTGTCCACTGGAAAACCTCAAAACGTTGCAGTACATGTAAAACCAACAGCCGCCCGTTAGATTAATCTATTTAAGGATAACAGAAATCATGACAAAGGTTTAGAGCTTCAAACCTTTGAAGATCAACAGGATGAAGTGGTCTTAGGGGAAAATGATGTGGATAATGTTCAAGCTTCATGGGCATATTGTTTGGTGGGGTATTTTGCTGGACGATTTTCATAAATGTCTGCAAATGCCATTTCCAATTTCCTTACAGCCTATATTTGGACTTTCTAAAAAATTGCTATAGGCTGGTCTTGAAGTTCATGCAACAAGAAACGATTCTTTTGTAACTGTTTCCAAGCAAATCTGATTTATCATTTTTAATTTGTTCTGAAAGTTAACGTCTACAAATCTGATTTATCATTTTTAATTTGTTCTGAAAGTTAACGTCCCTCCTTTTATTCATTAGGAGAAACATTTTAGCTCATGTCTCATAAAATCATCAACAAGGCTGTTGTTCCGAGTGTAAAACATACACACATATTCTCAATTCATACATTTGAACAGCCAAGTTCTGCAATTCAAGATAAGTATTTTATATTACCAAAAGGTGTCTATAGATAGGAAGAACTGAAATTTCTGGAGCAAAGTACTAGACAAATAAGATATGAATTAGCCTTAAATTATAGCCCAAGTTTTTAGTTGGGCATCCCGTGCTCTCTACTGAAGGACCTAGCAGAAAAAAATGACCAAAAATACAAGTTACAAGCTAGACAATTTTGCTAGTATAGATTTGGTGACAAGGGTTCTAGTATTCTCAACTGCTTCAGTTAATAAAACCTTGTGAGGCTTCAGTAAAGGAGCATATTTGCTGATTAGGCACAAGATAAAGTTGCCAAACTTCAAAGATTTCGAGTACCTGTGGCTGAATTCGTAAACCCGGGGAACGAGTTGTTCGATTGAATCTTCAGTCAGATAGACATTATGATTCAAGATGCTCTGCAATAAGTTAAACAAAGATTCAGTCCACACAATCTCATCACTAATCAGAGACTGATGGCAGGGAAGGCATATGAATTTCCATGCGTTTATATCTCTCGACAGTAATTTTTGGCAAAATGCAGAAACATGAGCCGGGTGCAGACATTCTTTAACTATCCTAGTGATCACATCGCAGATAGGACTGTTTATTCCCTCATTTCGTAGAATCAATGGAAACAAGAGGGCATATTCAGAAGCCCTTTGATGGGCCTTGCAGTAGTCTATTGTTGCAGCCACTAGTACACCAGAAGCTGGTTGATTGAGAAGGAGCAATTTGGGAAGGACGATTGAGCATAGAACATGGCTCGGCCAATCAAGCTCATTTCCTTCATTTTCAACCACCAAATGAGAAACTAAAACTGCAGCAGTCTCATCTTCTGCGTTCCATGGTTCAATCATGGCCATAACAGCCAAAGAATCCTCTCCACTTTTGACACAAAGTCGGTGAATGTCCTTGGATAACTGAACTGCTTTCGAAGTAGAATCAAAATCTAATAAACGGGATTTCAAAGATTTTGCTTCGTACTCAACTTCAGGGTCCATAGTATCATCAATTTTCCTAGGTCTCACGTGATCTTCCACCATCATTTCATCCACACTCTCCGGTTTATACTCCTCAACCTCCTTCAGAAAATCATCTTCATCCTCACCACAACTAACAAACGGTAATTTTAGACTTAACTCATCGGGTGACATAGGTAACCATGGAAGCAATGATTCACCATCTTTTGCAGCATCTCTAAGCCAATCTGGCACTGACAGAAACTCGTCCTCCCCATTGTCATCTTCGGAACCCAAATCCAAATGGGAAAGCCATTGATAATTTGATACAGACACCAAATCAAGCAACTGCTGTGCACATTTCTTCACCCAAAAATCGACACCTTTGCCCTCACTCAACATCTTTCTTGCAAGTTTACACAACTCCTTTTTACAAAATCTCTGATTATCATAAGCAAGAAACGATAAAATTCTGGCCTGAACAACCGAAGGTAATGTCTCTATCCACATAACCCTGTTCATCAAACAATAAAGATCACAACTTTATAGGAAAAGAAGAAAGTTATATAAATTATGGATTATATTCACAGATAAGCCTATGTACCTTTTTTCTTGAGGAGAAGAAGAAGTATCGATGAGAACTGAGGGCTTTGCGAGCAGTGAAAGAAAAGAGGTTGTGGAAATGGTGGCGCTGTTTGATGAAGGGTTGAAAGATTTTTGTAGCCAAACAGATGCATCAGTCTCAGGACATGGTGAGTTCATAAAAATCTCCATTAATGGAGTCCAACGCTCCATTCTCCCCCAGATTTTCCTCTTTCGAGGACGATAGGGATGGAAAAATATGTGGTACATTGGTAATTGCACAGTTGGTCATCCACTTTAAGATTAGGTTGCACTTTGGGTTTCAACATTTTTTTATTAGCGTTAACTACCAATTTAAAATAGTAATTTTTTTTTTTTTAATGACCATGGGTGTCCGAACTAACTTATGCGCGCCTCAACTAATCCAACAGGGTCTGAAAGTTTACAGCAAGATACTCACTTTAATGACGACTCGAACTGGTAACTATTGAGAAGTAAATCCAAAGTCCAACCATTTAAATAGTAAATTTATTGGAAATACATTTTACCTTGTTTGACTTTAACTTTTTGAAAAGTGAGTTTTTAAATAATGAGTGATTAAAAGAGAAAATAAATAATGGATCCACATCTAAAATTATATTATTGAGAGCATGTTTTGTTGAAATGAGTTTGAGAAAAATTAAATAAAAATCTGCAAGAGCCTTATCTTTGAATTCAAATAATGTTAATGTGAGCTATAGTTCACTGGAATCTAGATGAATATGATTTTGTATTAAAAACAAGAATTTACCATTATCCTACATATATAAAAGAACGAAACTTTGCTGGACACGTGTTGCAATTTCACATCATCTTCCTTTTTTCATTTTTTTTTCTTTCTTCCCTTTCATTATTTTACGCAACCATCAGCTCAAACATCTCCTCATCTCACTTCACAATCTCATACCTCCAAAATCTGATCAAATCTTGACTGAAGAGTTTATTTGTATGCACAGTCATATCTCCGTCACCCTGATTCATCCCTCTCATTCTCTACCCTAATTGTAAACTTTCTCTAGACATTCATCAGAATTTTAGCCGCCTCATTTGCCTACTTCAATGTAATGATTTTACGAAATTGGTGTAATCTTGAACTCATACAACACATTCCTCTCTTCAATTCTTAAGTTTGGTCATTTTTTCCTGAGTTCATCTGTACCATTATGTTGCTTATTTGTCTTTAATGGTGATTTTTCTTAAGTTTTCATTTGTTGCAACCCGTGACCAAACTCCTTCACAATTGTACAATCCAAGACGAGCAATTGAATCTCTCTAATTTGTATGTAAGTATGCTTTTTCAATTTTTTTTCCTTTTGAATTAATCTTCATTTTTGTTAAGTTTTCATTTGATTACCGTGTTTATACTGCATGTTATTAATTTTGTTTGAAGATAACTTCCAGATGATGGTGAATCAGCTAATGAGAATAGTGACAAAGTAATTAGTCGAATACCAGGTCTGTACTCTTCTCCCACTTCAGTTTAAATTTTAAAATCTCTTTATATTTCATTTTTCATTTGTGTTATTTGTGTTTTAGGATGGTGGAAAGCAAAAAATAATAATAATAATAATAAAAACATTGTTTTAGGCAAAAAAAAATAAAAAAATCGAGAGCTAAAGCTCCGTGCATGCACTGCAGAGAGCATTTTAGCTCCATGCAAACCTGGTAGAGAATAAAAAAATATATATTAACCAAAAGCCAAAAAAAAAAGTAATAATAATAAAAATATTTTTTTAAGGCAAAAAAAAAAAATAAAATCATCGCTCCGTGTTTGCACAGAGCTTTAGCTCTGCGCACTGTATGGAGCTTTTCGCTCCGTGTAGTGCATGAAGCCAAAATGCTCAATACACCATACAAGTGCATGGAGCTTTTGCTCCTTGCAAAAAAATTGTGTTTCTTTTTTATTTATTTATTATTTTTTCTCCTACATATATAAAAAAGTGAAGTAAAGGCTAGACAAGTGTTGCGCATATGCATCATTTTACGGATTTTTTTTTTCTTTTTCACTTTACGTAACCATCCTGTATTTCTCTATTTTTGCACACAACTTCGCCATAACCTCACCTCTTATCTCTTTCTTACTGTAAATTGATTTCTCAATTTTCTTTCTCTCTTTCTTCTAAAGAGTTCGTAGAAATAAGGTTTAGTTAGTTATTATTGCTCCAATTCAGCCAAAATTGCACCACCCGTGTCCAAACTCCTTCACGGATTGTCTTATACAACCCAGGACGAGCATTTCCATGCCACATATCATCAGGAATCTCTCTAATTTGTATGTATGTATGTATGTTTTTTTCGATTTTTTGTTCTTTTGAATTAATCATCATTTTTCTTAAGTTTTCATTTGATTACCGTTCATGTAAACATGCATGGTATTAATTTTGTTCGAAAATACCTTCCATGGCCAATTAGCTTCTAAGATAATTTTGCAAGACTATATTATTGAAATTAACTTCTCTTAGTTAGAAATGAAATGCTTGTAAATTTAACACTTACAATTTTATATTAAAAGGATACAGAAGGGCAAAACTTGGGAATAGTGATTATTAGACGAGATGAGCAGAAAGGGGTAGACGCTAGACATTGGAGTAATTAGTTGGATAACAGGTATGTGCTCTTCAACACTTTATTTTAAATTTTAAAATCTTTTTTTTTTTTGCATATTTTATTTTTCATTTGTGTTTTAGGAAAACCTGGTGGAAATTTTGTGCATCTTTTGTAAGGTAGATTGGATGAATAGTGTTAAGAAAGAAAAAGAGTTTGTAATGTTGTTTATGGGCAGGAGACGCGGAGAATAAAAACATTTTTTTAAACAAAAAAAATAAAAAAATAATGCGAGCTAAAGCTCCGTGCGTGTGGAGCAAAATCAGCTTCGTGAGCACACGGAACACGCAAAATTTGCTCTATTTCGCTCCGTGCCGCACGAAGCACGTAACCCTCACCTCCATTCCAGCTGTTGTCCATTTTCACACCTTCACAGCTTCACTTCTCTCTCCCTCTCTATAAGAATAAACTTGTAAACGCATGACACAATAACCTGTAAACATTGCAATTTTGTTAACTATTATTCAATTGGTTTGGTTGACTGAATAATTGTGGTCCGTCAATGGCATTGCAAATTGTAAGGTGACTTGCTCGTAGCCAACTTGACGAGATCTTTTCCTCCTCCCTAAACCTTAGCCTTTTCAATCAGTGTTTCTCCTCTGAATCCAATCTAATTCGCGGTATTCTCTTCCCCGGCGATGGTATTAGTCTTGAAATCACTTAATCCGTCAAACAGGTCCATTCACACTTATCAATCTGATTATATATGTTACGTGTTAACACACTTGGCCGACCCACTAGGGCCCATGGCCCACTTATGTCGAACCACGTGGCATCTTAGCCGAGGCCCCAGGCCAACAAAAGTAGATCAGCATACTTAAACAACACCCATGACGTGGTCCAAATGCTAACGCCGAAGTGAATAGGCCGAGGTTGTATTTCTTGCCTTGCCACGGCCCTTCACTCCGATGCCCATCGTACCGAGGTCCTGAGACCATAAACAACACTCCTCCCCAGAGATTCGATCATACACAAGGATCCTTCCTGATTGATTGATGGGATACCCATCATAGAGTGCAAGTGTCTTGTCTTGTCCGCCACTGATTAATAAAAGTGTAGCAGATTAAGAAGTCAAGTGTGATGTCCATAATTTGACATATAAATTTACGAGATGAGGTCACATGTACTCCTAACCAAGGGCCACGATCTAACTTGTAATACTATAAATACTTCCACATGCAACTCTCACAGGAATAATGGAAGATTCAACACAAGAACAAATACAACATTCTTTACATTTTACTCTTTTACAACATACATGAATTCATACACACATTCTACAAACATCAATTGGTAATTATTGTACAATCATTATGCAAACATCTCGCCCGATTCCGAACGTTCTCGTCTCGCGTCTTTGAGCCGTTCCCATGCCCCCTTTACTACTAGTTCTAAACAGTCCACGTATCTTAGAATGTTGGACCAAGCTTAAGTGTACGCGGGTAGATTCGATATCTGTTGGCAACATATTCTGGAGTCAGCAATATACATTGTTCATTATCCGCTCAATGCTTTTTCATGTTTAGTTGAGTGAGCTGTGAAAGAATGAGGTTTTGCCCTTTGTGTTTCATTAGATTTTCTGGAGAGAGATGTAACTTCTTTAAGGGAGGTGTATTCAATTGGAACTTTTGAAAACTTTGATGATGACTTTTGTGAATTTCATGGATCTTTTAAAAATTTGTATGGAGTTAGTGGAAGTCTTTCGTAGACTTCTATGGATTTTTATTTTAAAATTTTTATAGACTTTTGTGAAATTCAATTTTTTTTTGAAAACTTTCATTTGAAATAGAATTCACGTGGATCGTGTGTGAAATTCTCATATACGAATTGTTAGTTCCCATAATTCCCCTTCTCCTTTCTCTTCTTCTTCCCATATAATAAAAAAAAATTAAAAAAATAAAAATTTAAGACCTTAATTAAATAAATAATAATTAAAATTATACATATATTTATGATTCAATATTATTAGTATAGTATACTTTTAAAATTGAATAAAAATCAGTATATTTGAATTTAATTTTAAAGTTTTCATATAAATTTTTATAATTTAATAAAAATATAGATATTTTTCACAAAAAAAATGAATGAAAAAAGGGAAAAAAAGTCATTAGAATCCAATTTAATTTTTTCATAGAATATATGAATAAATAATAAGAGAGAGAAAGAAAAATAAATGGAATATAATCAATAGAAAAAAATAAATTTTAGTTAAACATGTCAATAAAAGGTTAAAGGAAAGAGAGATTGAAAAAAAGGGATTTTTTTAAATTTTTTTTTAATAAAGTCTCCCAAAGTTTTGTAATTAATGAGAAACAAATTTTAAGATATTATATGAGTACTTTTTGTTTAAAAGTTGGTACTCTAGAGACTTTTATAAAAGTATCTAAAAGTCATTAAAATTTGAATGCCACAAAATTTATAGAAACTTCTAAAAAATTTTAATTGAATACACCGTAATTTTTAGAGACTTTTTAAAAGTTTTAATTGAATACACCGTGATTTTTAGAAAGTCTCAAAAAGTCTCAATTGAATACCCCTAAACATCTTAAATATCAAAAAGTCATTAAAAGTTTCAATTGAATACACCTCCTAATTTTAATTTCTTGAGT